TCAGGTCCATCCTCGTCGACCGCGGTGACCACGACGGTGCGCGGAACTGGCTTCGGCGTGCGCAGAAGGCGTAGATGGTTTAGGGCTTTTTGGGTGTTTAAGACCCCAAACCCTAAACCCTAAACCCTAAACCCTAACCCTAAACCTCAAAATCTAAGGATCCAAGGTCTTCTAGAGTCATGCTGCGAGAATCTGTTTGCTGTAACTCAGTCGCCTTATAAAAAGGGGGGTGGAACTTCCTCCATTCTCGGGATACAGCGGGCAGAGGGTGTCTGTGTCTTGTAGGTTTGGGGTTAGGGTTTTGGGTTTATAGGGTATAGGGTTTAGGGTTTAGGGTTTAGGGTTTAGGGTTTAGGGAACCCGACTCCCTTGTTGCGGCGTAGAGCCCCTCTCGCCCCCTGGCCTCCGACCTCTGCCTTTGCGGGGAGGCCGGCATGGAGTGCAACGGGAACATGCTGCGGAGCGTCTTCCGCCAGCTCATGAGGACCCCTAAACCCGAAAACCATAAACCCTAAACCCTAAACCCGACACCCGAAACCCTAAACCCTAAACCCTAAACCCTAAACCCTAAACCCTAAACCCTAAACCCTAAACCCTAAGCCCTCGCCCCAACCTACAGGAGATAGAGTGAAGTCTCAGGCGCAACTCGGTGAGCCTCTCGCATGCGAGATGTCTCATCTCAGTCGGGCGTGCTACTCTGGGTCTTTTGGGGTTGATGGTGTTGAGCTCGTTTGACCCTCTTGATGCGGAAGAGCCCTAAACCCTAAACCCTAAACCCTAAACTCTAAACCCTAAACCCTAGGAGCCTTTGTTTTAAGGACCGGAGAGGCCTTGCGTCCGTCAGAGGAAGTGGCTGAAAGCAGTGTGGCGTTTCCCAGTTGCTGGCTCCTTCCACACATGTGGCCAGGTCGTAAACCACATCCCCTTCCTTCGATATCCCTCAGTACCCTTGTATACCCTTCTTGAAGGCTCATGTACAACAACCCCTAAACCTCCAAGTGACCGATACCCTTCTTTGTAATAATGCTAATAATCTGATGATATTTTTTTGAAACAATCTAAAATGCCCATTGAAACAAGAAGCTCCGAACTAGCCGTCGTAGCCATGGATGATGCGCGGCATCTGGAAGTGCTTCCCGATTCAGAGGAGCACCTCGCGTTGCTGCCGCCCGCCTTACGAAGCCCGCAACCTCAACTCCTAAACCCTAAGCCCTCAACCCGCTAACTCAACCCCGGGGGTCATCCTACGAACGCTGGCTTCAGATGCTACTAATTGCTTAAGAACCCCCCCCCCCCAAAAAAAAAAAAAATAAAAAAAAATCGCCCTCACCAGGGCAATATAGGGATCTTCGTTTTTGTAGTTTTTGGGGGCTTCCTAAGCAAATAGTAGATGATGGTTTAGTGTGTTGTTCTAAGTTGGCGGACCCGCCCTCAAGCCCTCAACCCACCCTCCAAAAGCCCAGTTCGAGAACTACTGAACTCTATAGATCCCTGAACCCCAAAACAGCCCAACTTGTAGGTTTTAGGTTTTAGGGTTTAGGGTTTAGGGTTTAGTGTTTAGGGCTTAGGGTGTAGGGTTTTAGGGTTTAAACCACCAAATCCAAAACTCAAAAACCCCGCAGGGTTCAGTTTTTTTGGCTGAGGTCGAGCACCTTCCCACTGCAGGGCTACATCGAGGAAACGGAGCGGCGACACATGGTTATTTAGGGTTTAGGGTTTAGGGTTATTTACCCAAAATAGGGGGCGCCCCTGTGATACCGCAAGTGGAATGGGAACCCCCCCAAAAGGGTACCAAAAGGGTACCAACTAGGGGTAGCCCCTTCCTGCCCCAAATAGAATAGAATCCCTTATTAAAGGGACCCCCCCCCCAAGAGGGTATGTACCCCTATTTTCGGAAACCCCCTCATTTTGGCAGCAAGGCCTTTCGGTCTAGGGAGCCCCGAAGGCGTTTCGCAAGGGCGTGTTGGCTGTGGCTTAGAGGTTTTTTTTGCGGGTTCTGGGTTTAATTTGGGTGATTAGGGTTTAGAGTATGGGCTCCAGGGTTTTGGTAGGGTTTGGGGTTTGGGGTTTAGGGCCAGGGGTTAAGTCTTAGTCTTTGCAGCAGGCGATTTAGGCTTTTAAGCCCCCCTAAACCCTAAACCCTGCACCCTGAACTCTGAACCCTAAACTCTAAACCCTAAACCCTAAACCCTAAACCCTAAAGCTTCAGATCCCAGTCAGACACATCGTAAGCCTTGCTTCAGATCAACTTCGAAGGCAGATGGGGTTTAGGGTTTCGGAATTGGGCTGTAGAGTTTAGGGTTTAGGGTCTAGGGTCTAGGAATTGGGATGCAGGGTTCGAGGCTCCCGTGTGTGGGGGCGTTCCAAGTTGTGGGAGGCGAAGTGCAGCTTCCCTCAGTCGCTGCGGACTATGCTTCCTGAGCCCCCTTAAGCCCCTCTAAGCCCCCTAAGCCCCTCTAAGCCCCTAAGCCCCCGAAGCCCCCGAAGCCCCTCTAAGCCCCTCTAAGCGCCTGCCCCCAAGCCCCCAAGCCCCTCTAAGCGCCTGCCCCCCTAAGCCCCCTAAGCCCCCTAAGCCCTAAGTCCCCTAAGCCCCCTAAGCCCGTGAGCTGAGGAGCGATCACACCCACGCAGCTGCAGGAGGTGGTCGACTTCGCCGGCGCTCATTGCAGGCGCCAGGGGTTCATGGCTCTGGGATCTAGGGAACGCTAAACCCTAAACCCTAAACCCTAAACCCTAAACCCTAAACCCTAAACCCTAAACCCTAAACCCTAAACCCTAAACCCTAAACCCTAAACCCTAAACCCTAAACCCTAAACTCTCAACCCTCAACCCTCAACCCTAAACCCTAAACCCTAAACCCTAAACCCTAAACTCTAAACCCTAAACCCTCAACCCTAAACCCTAAACCCTAGACCCTAGACCCTAAACCCTAAACCCCCAAGCACAAATCCTGAGCTCAAGGAGCCGGAGCAGCTTCCCATCTGTCTTCCCTCTGTCAGGCAATGGCACGACCGTAGCTGCGCTTCATGGACGTCAGGCTGGGCTGGGGTGCGCACTATCGGGGTCGGAAGAAGTAAGATAGTACTATATTAGTATTCCCTTGTGGTCCCTTTAGGACTATCCTCCTAAAAACCACTCAAAACCCTATTCTAATTATTAAGGCCCCCATATTGGGTGCTCTCATCAAGTTTAGGCACCTCAAGGCTTTAAGGTTTTAGGATGGTTTTAGGCTCAGTTTCTTACAAACCTAAACCCCGAAGCCCCTAAGCCCCGAAGCCCCGAAGCCCCCAAGTTGTAACCCCTAACCCCCCTCAACCCCCCCTCACAAGCCCGACTGTTGCCCAACATTTTTGGCGCCACCCATCCTTGCAGGGCAGCCGCTCTCCATGGACTTCCTGAACCTCTACCACCTCACGGCCCCCTGGAAGTTCAAAAAACCCTAAGCCCCTAAACCCTTAAGCCCTTGAACCATTCAGCTTTGAGCCCTACGCCTCATCCCCTGAACCCCAAAACCCTTAGAAACCCTCCACCCCAAACCGAAGCCCCCCGATCCCCCAAAGCCCTCCTTGTCCGAAAACAGGGGCAGGTTTTTGTGAAGGGCTACCATCAGGAATGATGCTCCTTTTGGGTATGTAAAGGGGCGTGCCGTAGCAAAGACTTCCAAGTGCTGGATAGCCTAAGCAAGCAGAGAGCCACCGAGGATTGGGTGATCCGGCCTGCAACGCAGGCAGGGCCAAACCCCCCCAAAATCCCTAAGACCTTCAGAAATCCCGTACCACCCGAACCCCCCCCCCCCAAAAAAAAAAAAAAACCCAACCCCCACTAACCCCCTAAGCCCCGAAAAATCCTCGACCCCTAACCCCTAAACCCCCTAAACCCCCTAAACCCCCTAAACCCCCTAAACCCCCTAAACCCCCTAAACCCCCTAACCCCCTAAACCCCCTACCCCCTAAACCCCCTAAACCCCCTAAACCCCCTAAACCCCCTAAACCCCTAAACCCTAAACCCCCTAAACCCTAAACCCCCTAAACCCCCCCCCTAAACCCCCTAAACCCCCTAAACCCCCTAAACCCCCTAAACCCCCTAAACCCCCTAAACCCCAAACCCTAAACCCTAAACCCTAAACGTGCGTCATCTTGTGTGCGAGGCGGAGAACTGTGCCATGGTCGAGCTCCTTACAGGCCCTGTCAAAGGGAAGCTTGGGGTTCAAGGGCTTCAGAGGGGCTTTGCGGGTTTAGGGTTTTTAGGGTTTAGGGTTTATTGTTCTGCCGAAAAGGCCACCCGCAGGCGCCCGCATGGTTCGTCTCGCACTGGCACCCTGGCTTCAGAATCCAAAGACCGAAACCCTAAGCCCCAAGATTTGGGGCTTCCGGTTTGAGGGGCTTGGGGTTGGGGGTTTCAAGGCTGTGTACTGTTAACTTTTCTTGTGGGCTTTGGGTGCACAGGGTTGAGGCTTTGGCTTGCTGTTTGCGCTTCCTCTCAGCAAAGGTGCCTGGTGTGAGCCAGAATTCTTGAAGCCCTATAAGCCTCACTCTAACCCTCCACCCTACACCCTACACCGCAAACCCTAAACCTTCCCACCTCTCACCTCCCAGCCCTCCTGAAGCCCAACCCTGTAGACCCTGAACCCTGGGAACCCCTGAGCCCATAATGGAACCCACATGTCGGAACATGTTCAGAGGGTTTTAAGGGGCCAACCTAGCTTTAAAACCCCAAAGCCCTTAAATCCTTAAACCCCTCAGCCCGCAAGGGGGGCCCTCTATAGCACTCGGGCCCTAGAAATGTGGAGGTGGCTTAAGCCCTTAAGCCCTTAAGCCCTAAAGACCTCAGAGGCCCTCTGGCCCTAAACCCCAAACCCCAAACCCTAAACCCAAACCCTAAACCCTAAACCCTAAACCCTAAACCCTAAACCCTAAACCCTAAACCCTAAACCCTAAACCCGAAAACCTAAACCCCAAAGCCCAAACCCCCTAAACCCTGAACCACTGGTAGGCCCTGCAATGTTGAGGTGGGGCGAGCCGCTCCGCTGCTTCGTCAGCTGCCTCCGGCGCCATGCGCAGACGCGAGCGCTGCAGGCGCTCGGGACGGAGATGAACGGATTTTCAGGGCTTAGGGCTTGGGGTTTAGGGTTTAGGGTTTAGGGTTTATGGTCGAGAAAGAGGATGCAGGATTTTGGGGTTTAGGCTTGAGTTGAGGTGCTTTTGTGGTAGAAATTCAGCGACAGGCCCTAAATCCAGATGTGGCGGCGGGGGGGGGCTCTCCTAAGCCCCACACCCGAACCCTAAGGCCCTAAACCCTGAACCTTTGGAGGTTTAGGCTTTAGGGTTTAGGCTTTAGGGTTTAGGGTTGAGGGTTGAGGGTTTAGGGTTAGGGTTTAGGGCTTCAGGTCTACAGAATAGGCAGCTGGTGTAGGGTAAGTCAATACCGTGCCTAAGCTGCTTGAAAGGCCTTGTCCCTACACGCCCTAAACCTTACAAGCCATCAACCCTAAACCCCACATCCTTGTTTTTGTCTCTGTGGTGCTTTACTGTAACTTTAGATCCTTAGCCTTTTTGGGTTTATTGGGTTTCTTAAGAAGGCAGCTAAAAATTAAATGTATAGCTACCCTGCTAAGTGCAGCCAAGTTGGGGCTTCGTTCCCAGGGTTTCGCGTTTTCAAGGTACAGGGGGTCGGGGAAGTCAGGCTAGGGGTTTCAAGGTCTTGTAGGACCCGAAACCCTAAACCCTAAACCCTCAACCCTAAACCCTAAACCCTAAACCCTAAACCCTAAACCCGAAACCCTCAACCCTCAACCCTCAACCCTAAACCCTAAACCCGAAACCCTAAACCCTCAACCCTCAACTCCGCGGGCTCAGGCCTCGGCAGCCTATTGGGCCCGGAGCTGAGACGCAGGAGCTTGTGGCTCTGATCCCCGGGGCTTCGAGGCTTAGTGTTTCGGGCGTTCCCAAGCCGCATAAAGCCCTCAGCTCTCAACCTTATTGGTAGCCCCAAAGCCCAAACCCCAAACCGCAAACCCCAAACCCTAAACCCTAACCCTAAACCCTAAACCCTACGCCCTAAACCCTAAACCCCAAACCCTAAACCCTAAACCCCAAACCCTAAACCCCAAACCCTAGAAACCTTATCTAGACCCCAAACCCTGATGCTCTGAGGCCACCCCTCGTCCCCGGAAAACCCTCAGCCCTAAAACTCTCTTGTGAACCCCCGACTCCTGAGTTTGGGGCTGAATGCTTGGGAACTATTGTTGGGAATTCCGGGGAGTTCGGATGTTTCAAGAAGATCCTGCGGGCCGAGTCTCTGTTATAAGTACCGTCATTCTCTGCTACGTAGCAAAGGTCGGGGAGCGTGCGTGGAGTAGGATGAAGTCAAGTTCAGGGTTTGGAGTATAGGGTTTGGGGTTTGGGGTTTGGGAGCTAGGAAAATCTTGTTGTTAAGTCGCTGCTCTAGTGAGCCCAGCAGGCGTTCTGAGATCTTGACCTACCCTAGAAAGGATTCGCTTGCCACATTTGGATATAGGTTCCAAAACCCAAAACCCTAAACCCAACACCCAAAACCCTCAACCCTCAACCCTCAACCCTCAACCCTCAACCCTCAACCCTCAACCCTCAACCCTTAACCCTCAACCCTCAACCCTAAACCCTAAACCCTAAACCTCACACCCTCAACGGGCAGGTCTGCGCCTATGCCAATCGCCAGCACTCTCTGGGCGAAGAGGCCCTTAGCTCCTGCCCTTTAGGGTTTAGGGTGTAGGGTTTAGGGTTTAGGGTTTAGGGTTTAGGGTTTAAGGTTTAAGGTTTAGGGAAAGTAACCAACATGGGGTCGTGAACATGGGTTTCTCGGCCTGAGGACCTGAGGCTTACAAGAATTGGCGGTTTGGCAGGTTACCCGAAACCCTGAACCTGAGACCCTAAATCCTAAACCCTAAACCCTTAACCCTTAAACCCTAAACCCTAAACCCTTAAACACTAAATCTAGGGTTTCGGGGGTTTAGGGAGTCACCGTCTTGAGCCATCTTCGGGACCCTGGGTGCAGGAACCCAGGGCCGAGTTAGAGGGTTTGTGGGTTTTGTAGGCCCCCGCAAGTACCCAAAGGTTCAGGGACGCCATGGCCATGGATCCTCAGCCCTAAACCTTAAAACGTGTGGGAACATGCATCTGCAAGCCAAAACACAAAACAGAAGAGACAACCCTAAAACCCTAAACCCTGAACCCTGAACCCCAAACAACCCAAACCCGAAACCCAAGAAGAACCCTCCGCACGGGAGGTGACCTCGGACCCCCGCCAGACGAGCTTCTTCCGGGCGCTCACACTGAGCCAGGGGGCTTCTTGGCTGGTTTGTGTTTCGGGTTTAGGGTTCAGGGTTTAGGGTTTAAGCTTTACGAAGCCCTAAACCCTAAACCCTTCGAAACCCCAAGCCCTAAGACCTAAGACCTAAACCACCCCAAACCCCAACCCCGAATCCCCCCGTCAGCAGGTGCTTCTGATCTTGGACGACGTGGCCGAGCGCTCTGGGCCGGCGACACCCTTCAAGAGGACGCTGGTAGGGTTTAGGGCTCAGGATTTAAGGTTTAGGGTTTGATTAGGGTTTAGACTTTAGGGTTTTAGGGTTTATTGAAATTGTTCAGGGCTCACGTCCGGGAAGTTTCGAGGAGTTCCGAGGACAGTTTCGAGGAGTTGAGTTTGATTTTTGCTTGTACTCATTTGTTTACAACTTTTTGCTTTGTAGTAAATTCTGGCTTGCGGGTTAAGGCTTAGCGTCCAGCTTCGATTGAAGTGTGGTATTTAAGGGCCCACATGAAGGGACCATGAAACTACCCTAAAAATAGGTGTAGGGTTTGGATGCTTTTGAAACGTTGGTGGTGGCGACGGGGTGGTTGAGCCTTGAGGGTTTTGGCTTGAGGGCTCAGGGCTTTAAGTTTTTTTAGGGTTTTAGCATTAGGGCTGAGTTCAAAGGGTTGTGGCTTGTTGGGTTCGGCCTTTACGGCTTAAGACGTTGAGGTTTCTGCGGTTCCTACGCTCTAATTCGACCCTTCAGGGCTCTCCAACACCTCCAACCAGATCGCGTGAGGAACCCGCTGCCATCAGGACCACGAGTTATACATGCTTGCAATCCCTACATCTCTGCATCCCCCGACCCCTAAACGCTAAGCCCCGAAACTTCTATGTCCCAAGCCCTAAACACTAGCCCTAAACCCTAAACGCCTAGACCCTAAACCTCAACCTTAAATCTCAAACCTTCAAACCCCTCCTGACTTGCCAGGATCTGGTGCGCCTTTGAGGAGTGGCATGTCTACAGAAAGGATTAGGGTTCAGGGTTCAGGGTTTAGGGCTTCGGGTTTAGGGTACAGGGTTAGTGTTAGGGTTCAGGGTTTAGGGTTTAGGTTTTAGGGTTTAGGGTTTAGGGTTTGTTTAGGGTTTAGGGTTTAGGGTTTGTTAAGGGTTCAGGGATTAGGGTTGCGCACTTTCAGCTTACTTGGGGATTTGATGGGTATGTTTCGGGCTTGGTGGTCTCATGCGCTGAAGATGAGTTTGTCGTGTGGGCGATCTCCCTCTGCGTGCGTGCGTGCTTTTGCGCGCGCGTGGGTGGGTGGGTGGGTGGGTGGGTGGGTGGGTGGGTGGGTGGGTGGGTGGGTGGGTGGGTGGGTGGGTGGGTGGGTGGGTGGGTGGGTGGGTGGGTGTGTGTGTGTGTGTGTGCTTTTGGTAGTAATCAGGGATCTGGGTGTTGGAGCCGTGGATCATAAGCCCTACTGTAAGCCCCAAGTCTAGGATAATCTCAGAGCTTCCTAGACTGTGCTCTACCCGAAAACTTGTTCTTCCTGAAGCTTACCCCAAAGTAAACCATCGAAAAACCATCTCCATGTGCCACAAGTACTAGCTACAATTTGCAACCGCCAAGATCAAACACAAGCAGTGTGAGCATCCCCGGACGGCATCGAGAGCGGAGGAAGCGCCCTAGTGGACACAGCTAAACCCTCTTCAGCCCAAAACCTTAAGCCCTAAGCCCTAAGCCCTAAACCCTAAACCCCAAACCAAACCCCGAACCCTGAGCCCTTGGCTCAGGTATGTGGCGCTGAGTTCTCGGCAGGGGCAGCGGCTTGTTTCAGCAAAGGGGCTTCAGGGACTTGAGGGCTGTAGTTCTGGGACCCCCAAAGCCCCAAAAGCCCCCAAACCCCAAACCCTCAAACCGCAAACCCAAAACCCCGCAGGTTGCCTGCCAGGGCGACGACTTGAAATGCGGTTTAGGGTTTAGGGTTTGGAGATTAGGGGTCGTTCAGGGATGTTTGGTGTTTAGGGTCTCGAATTCACTGGTGGATGGTTTGGGGTTCAGGATTCAGGGTCTGTGGTGCAGGGCCCAGGTCTTTCGGTGTGGGGGTATGAAAGTTGGCGTGGATGTTTTTTGTTTTTTTGAGTCTTAGTTGTTGTTTTTACGTGCTGCTGGGCTGGGGATTGAAGCACTTGGTCAAAGGACTTTTCGATGGTGCCCCATTCCCTTCATGCTCGATGACGCAGCAGTAAGTTTGGCAACAGTAAGGTTTTAGCAACCAGGTGCCAACACAGCCCCAGAGTGAGTCCTAAAACCTTGACATGTTCCTCCTTATACTAACAGTCCTTAGTAGGGATTATCATAGGGGGTATCATCATCCCTGTTGAGGGCTGTTAGTATCAGGGGGAACATCCCAACCTAAACCCTAAACCCTAAACCCTAAACCCTAAACCCTAAACCCTAAACCCGAAACCCTAAACCCTAAACCCTAAGCCCCAAACCCTCATCCCTAAACCCTAAACCGCCTAAGCCCCAAACCCCCAAGCCCTGATCTTACAAGGAAGCCCCTGCTGCTCGACATCGCCGCCTTCCACGGCAACAAGCCTCCCGGAGAGATTTCATCCTCAGCTTGGGCTAATCCCCCTTACAGGCCCTTATGTGGTTTAGGGCTTAGGGTTTAGGGTTTAGGGTTTAGGATTATCAATAGGGGGGGGGGTACTATAATCGCTATCAAGGACTGTTAGTGTAAGGGGGAGCCTCCCAATCCTCAACTCTGACCACAAAATCTCTTCAACCTCGAATGCTGAACCCAACCAACCCCCAAACCTTCATCCCCATACCTTCAGCTTACCTTACGCTCATGGTCAAAATCGCGTTTCGCGTTCAACCCTAGTGAGCACATGAGGAATCCTTTTTGTAGGTCTTTCGGGTTGTCAGGGTTTTTAGGGTGCAGGCTTTTAGGGTTTAGGGTATTAGGGTATAGGGTTTAAGAGCCCGTGCTCGGAAATTTATTGTTGGGGTTCAGTGCTTCCGGTAGTTGGGGTTCCATGAGTGAGCCCTCTGAGAAGCCCTAAACTTTTTGGGTCCCTAAACCCTAAACCCTAAACCCTAAGCCTAAACCCTAAACCCTAAACCCTAAACCCCAAACCCCAAACCCCAAACCCTAAAAACCCTAAACCCCTAGAAAAAAAACCTAAGCCCCTAAAGAACCCCGAACCCTAAACCCCCTAAAACCCCCCAAGAGCCCCTCCCAGAGGCCGGAGCTCCTCACCGATGGCGCTGGGGCACCCAGCTCTGCGGGGACGCGCCCTTCTGGGGTTTAGGGTTTAGGGTTTAGGGTTTAGGGTTCAGGGAAAAGGGTTTCGGGATATCGGGCTTAGGGTTTAGGGATCCAGGGTTTAAGGATTCAGGGTGTAGGGCTTAGGAATTTGGGTTTGGGAATTTCTGGTTTCGGAGGAGCTTTGAGCCGCCCACCCGAAAACCTTCAGGGCGAGGGAAGGAAGTTCCGTTTGGGATGATGTGGTAGGGGTTGAGGGTTGATAGGGTTTACCTGAAGAACCCACAGCATTTTGTCTTGTAGGTAAGTACTACAAAACCCCTTGTAGGAGGGGATTTAAGGTTGAGGGCTTTTTGTCATGGTGCATGTTCCCGGCCGACTGCCGTAGTGGTCTTAGTGGTCTTCAGCAAACCCTCAACCTTGAACCCTAAACCCTAAACCCTCAACCCCAAACCCTAAACCCCAAACCCCTGGACACCCCCTTGAACCTCCCTGGACATCCTGGGAATCCCACCAGCGTTGAACAGCCAGAGAATTCGCTGCTGGGTTCATGCCGCCTGACAAGCCAAAGTTCGGCATAAGACCCACAATAATATAGGGTCGGAATAACTACTAATAGTATTCCCTTAGGGCCCCTTTATAGTTATACTCTAATAGCCCCCCAAAACCTTATTCTAATTATTCAGGCCCCTATATTGCACTGCTGGTCTTGGGATCACTCTCTCGGCGCGAGCAAGTAGGAGCAGGCAATGGTCCCGAAATCGCTGCCCAACGTCAACGCGGACTGTTGAATGTGAAACTGGTCAAGGTAGACACGCCACCCAAGATTTGGGCACCCTAAACCCTAAACCCTAAACCCTAAATCCTAAACCCTAAACCCTAAACCCTAAACCCTAAACCCTAGACCATTCATCTCCGCACAGAATACATGTCTCACCGGGAGTGGATCGAACTTCACCGACCTGATGCACGAGTGCTTGTCACTCGAAGCGGAGTGGGAGCACCATTTGTTCTCAAACTGGAGTCCACTCTGCCAATCCAAAATACAAGGCCATGAAGAAAAGTTGCATGAGGCATGTACTTCAGCGACTGGGATCCATTTCGCAAGGCTCTGTGCCGAATGATTACTGGCATCGGCCACTTTTTCGGTTTAGGGCTTAGGGTTTAGGGCTCCTTTCTCCGAATCTGGAGCACCCCTCACAGACACGAAGTCAAGTCTTCATGAAGGAAGCCCCTCAACCGTTGACGGAGAAAGTTCTGAAAAGTGGCACGTAGATAGTGCCGACTCAAGCCCTAAACCCTAAACCCTAAACCCTAAACCCTAAACCCTAAACCAGAAACAATGTATATATGTGTGACAAGGGACGCCGGGTGGGTAGGGTGGTACGAAGCACATAGTGATGTAAGGAGGCCTTGCAAATCGAGAGCCCAGGCCAACCGTAAACCTAAACCCGAAACCCTAAACCCTAAGCCCTAAAAGCCCAAACCCTAAACCCTAACCCCTAAACCCTAATCCCTAAACCCTAGACCCTAAACCCTAACCCCTAAACCCTAAGGTCACCGAAGAGGATGAGCGCATGGCGCGACAGCTGGGAGCAGGTCGAGCTCTCGGACCGGGTTTCACCCCATAAGACCTCGAAACTGAGAATCGGAGTCTCAAGCCCTAAATTTTATTATCCTAAACACTACCAGCACCCCCCAACTACCCTTTGACCAGAATACTAGCGGGGGGTCTTCAGGGTTGTTGGGCTTCGGTCTTCCCCCCACAGGTGCACCCTGAAAGGGGTCCCGACAGGGCCCCAGTAGGGTTTCTGGATTCAGGGGTTTCGAGGGTGTAGGGTTTTAGGGTTTTAGGGTTTTAGGGTTTTAGGGTTTTAGGGTTTTAGGGTTTTAGGGTTTTAGGGTTTTAGGGTTTTAGGGTTTTAGGGTTTTAGGGTTTTAGGGTTTTAGGGGGTTTTAACAGCGGGTTGAGGGGTTTAGGGGTTTCAAGGGTGTAGGGTTTAGGGTTTAGGGATTTTGGGGCTTACGGCTCTTAGGGTTCTGGGTTGTTCTTTTCAGGGTTTAGGGGTTTAGGGCTTATGCAAAGGATTCCTACAGGACATCCTGCCAGCGTTTACCCTGAACCCTAAACCCTAAACCCTAAACCCTAAACCCTAAACCCTAAACCCTAAACCCTAAACCCTAAACCCTACACCCTACACCCTAAACCCTAAACCCTAAAGCCTAAAGCCTAAACCCTAAACCCTAAACCCTAAACCCTAAACCGCAAGGGCCCAGATGAAAGGCCTTAGATAATGGAGTCTTGGGCTCTGAGGGTAAACCCTAAACCCTAAACCGTAAACCCTAAACCGTAAACCCTAAACCCTAAACCCTAAACCCTCAACCCCAAACCCCAAACCCCAAACCCTAAACCCTAAACCCTAAGGGCTTACTTAAGAGGTTCATGCCCTCAGTTGCGGTAAGCCCCCAAGCCGATGAAGCCCTTAAAGGTCGTTGAGGGTTCAGGGCTTAGGGTTAGGGGGTTTAGGGTTTAGGGTTAGGGGGTTTAGGGTTAGGGTCTAGGGTGTAGGGTTCAGAGAGTGCGGATTCAGAGAGTTTAGGGTTGAGGGCTGCTGCCGAACGGTGGCTTCGCGAGGCCATCCGGCGGGGAAGGTGCGCGGCGATCGCGAGAAGTACTTTCCTTTGGAGGCCTCGGCCCGCAGCTTGCACGTTTGGCTGCGTGTTTAGGGGGGTTTAAGTTAGGGCGACCCTAAACCTAAACCCCAAACCCCAAACCCTAGACCCTAGACCCTAGACCCTAGACCCTAGACCCTAGACCCTAGACCCTAAACCCTAAACCCTAGACCCTAAATCCGAAATCCTAAACCCTAAATCCCACACGTAGCGCGGCCAGCTGCAGGGGGTTTAGAGTTCAGGTGTGTTCTTTCGTGTGAAGGGAGAGGGTTGATACAAGACAAGCCCAGCGGCCGAAACCATCAACCGGTTTAGAGGTTTAGGGTTCAAGGGTTTAGGGTTTAGGGTTTTGGGGTTTAGGGTTTGGGGTTTGAGGTTTTGGGTTATTTGGGGTTCAGGCTTTAGAGTTTAGAGTCTCAGCATACCCAACATGACAAAATCAGGGACGGGCACGCAAGCCACGGCTGCAGCTTCATCCCCTGAAATCCACCCTCAGATGCAATCCCCGAACCCTAAACATTAAACCCTAAATTCTAAAACCTTAACCCTGTTGCCCTGAACCTGAGCCCTGAATTATGCACCCAAGTCCTATTGCCCCAAGCCCTAAAGCCACACATCAGAAACTAAAATCCATTCACTCTAAACCCTACCTACACCCTAAAGACCCTAACCCTGAACCCTATTACCCTAAACCCCAAACCCTGAACCCTGAACCCTGAACCCTAAACCCTAAACCCTAAACCCTAAACCCTAAACACCAGGTGTTGAAGGCCGGCTTGTGCCTGGAGTTGGAGAAGGCCGAGGCGCCCTTTGTTTTTGTGTCTCAGGCCGAGGGAGTTTTGGGGGTTTAGGGTTTAGGGTTTAGGGTTTAGGGTTTAGGGTTTAGGGTTTAGGGTTAGGGTTTAGGGTTTAGGGTTTAGGGTTTAGGGTTTAGGGTTTAGGGTTTTTTTTGGGGCCCTGGGCGAACGTTGGGTTTAGGGTTGAGGGTTGATATGGAACCTTTCACCCAATGCCACCGGTGATCACGGCAAGCCCTAAACCCTAGACCCAAAACCTCAAACACCCCAAGCCAAAGCAATTAGTTAACACCCAACCTGGGGCCCTCTTTACCTACAGTGTGTTTTTAATACCTAGTTAAGGGTAGTTACTCTGTGGTGCTTTACTGTAACTTTAGATCCTTAGCCTTTTTGGGTTTATTGGGTTGCTAAAAATTAAAAACTATAGCTACCGTGCTAAGTGCAGCCAAGTTACTACTGTAAACCTGGGGCCCTCTTTAGCTGCAGTTTAATTGGCCATTGGCTCTACCTAGTTAAGGGTAGTTACTGCTGTAAAATGGTCCCAGGAACCCTAAACCCCATACCCTAAACCCTAAACCCTAAACCCTAAAACCTAAGCCCGAGACCCTAGACCCTAGACCCTAAACCCTAAACCCCAGACCCTAAACCCTAAACCCTTGGAAAGGTGCAGTTCCAGTAGGTTACAAACGTGCGACCCGCCTCGGCTGCTACATGAAACCGAATGAGGCACTCGGGAAGGCGACGAGTGAGGAGACGAAGGTCGAGGCAGGATTCGCCAAGGGTGTCACTCTCCTGATCAAGGACATGATCAGGGAGAGTGGCGACCGGGGGACAAGTGTATTGAACTACTTGATCAACACATGCTTGTTCCTTGCCAGTCTATCCATCATGATGGAAGACACGCGGCTTGCGCCCCAGCTGATCACGCATCACCTTGAGAAGATCTTCCGTGAGGCGGCTGACGCGGAACTGCTTGCGGAAGGAGACGACGGTCTCCATTTCTTTATACGAAGCGGTTCATCGAAAGCGTGTTGGGGCTTACCGTCCGAACATTTAAACCCCATAAACCCTAAACCCTAAACCCGAAACCCTAAACCCTAAACATAAACCCCAAACCCGAATCAAACCCTGAACCCTAAACCCTAAAACCTAACCCTTTGTGAAAACCCTAAACCCTAAACCCTAAACCCTAAACCCTAAACCCTAAACCCCAAACTTTATAAGCCCTGCACCTTGTTTTCAACCCTGCAGAGCTCCGGCGAGGTGCCTATTTCGCAGCCGGGCGAAATGGGCCTACGTTTCGGTTCGGGCTCCCTTATGAACCCCAAACCCCAAACCCCAAACCCCAAACCCCAAACTCTAAACCCCAAACCCCAAACCCCAAACCCCAAACCCTAAACCCTAAACCCTAAACCCTAAACCCTAAACCCTAAACCCTAAGCCCTAAACCCTTAAGAGATAAACCCTGACCCCCCCCCTTTTCTGATTCCTAGGCTATTCGTTGGGTCTGTCAAAGCCCTGAAGTCGTGAGGCCAGCCAAGAGGCTGACCGCATCCACATCTTGAATGCCATCGCCGGCCAGGGAGCTTAGGTTTACTTGGAGGTTCATGGTACTTATTAACCAATTATACCTGTACTTATAGCTGTACTTATAACCATATCCGGGCACTTAGGAGGCTGCTAAGTGGGTGATAAGTCCCGTCATAACTGGTTAACAAGTAACTAGGAACCTCCAAGTGCCCCGTGGTTCGCTAGTTATGTATTGGGATGTTCACCCTTATACAAACAGTCTTTAATAGGGATTATAACAGGGGGTACCCCGTCGTTCGATAGGTATGATTGGTAGCCGAGAGGCGCATTTTTTGCCGTTTTTGTTAAAGGTTCCCTTATAAGTTTCACTTCTAAGCAACCAGCCCCAGATAAGGGTACCTCTTGTTTTATGGTTACTAGGCTACCTAGTATGTAGGGCTTCGGGTTTTTGAGACAGTTCGAGGCCGAAAGTGTTCATCTCAAAAAGGTTTGACAATTGTGGATCTCTTCCTGAGACTAATCCTGCACCGTTTATGCTACGGTATCAAACTTTTTGGGAGGTGTGTTCGGATCTTGAGCGCTCTCTGTGGTGCGCGTGTGCGTGTGCGTGCGCGTGCGCGTGCGCGTGCGCGTGCGCGTGCGCGTGCGCGTGCGCGTGCGCGTGCGCGTGCGTGGGTGGGTGTGTGTGTGTGTGTCAATTTTGTATTGGGCGTGCAACATCTCAGCTCATCTTGAAGCAGGCCTGACTTCGTGGTCCAACCGTTCCCATCAAAACCATCAGATTGATGAGACGCAGTCAAACTTACCGCTTACTTATTTTAGTAGAGGGGGTAGTTGTTGCAGCACAATGCCGAGGATCGATAGGGGACACGCTAAATTGATACTGTTATTTGATACTATAGGATAAAAATGCGGTAGGTGAAAAACATGGCAAACGGTACGGGACGTGCTAATTCAAAAACAAGCAAGGCTTAAACAAGTAATTTTGACGCCGACCCAGATCATGTCACCTATGGCAAAGCGCCTGCTAAAGCCCCCAAACCCTAAACCCTAAAGACCCTAAACCCGAAACCCTAGGCCCTAAAACCCTTAATTAACCGAGAACCATCTGAGCACTCAACCCCCAGTTTATCCCCCCTGCACGTTTTGACTTCCCATGACTTAGGGTTGAGGGTTTGGGGGTCTCAGCCTAGCTCAGGCCGCGCCCTCGATGAAGCGCCCGTCAGATCTCACCCCAGCTGCTTTGGACGCATCCTAAGGGGGTCTAGGGCGTAGGGCTTAGGGGGGGGGGGGGGGGTTTGGGGTTTGGGGTTTGGGGTTTGGGGTTTAGGGTTTAGGGTTTGGGGTTAGGGTTTAGGGTTTAGGGTTTAGGGTTTAGGGTTTAAAGTTTAAAGTTTAGGGTTTGGGTTTAGGGACTCCAAGCCCTTGAGCCGAAATTCTAAAAACGCTAAGCCCTAGGGGGTTTCGGAGTTTGGAGCTCATGGCTGGTTTAGGGTTTAGGGTTTAGGGTTTAGGGTTTAGGGTTTAGGGTTTAGGGTTTAGGGTTTAGGGTTTAGGGTTTAGGGTTTAGGGTTTAGGGTTTAGGGTTTAGGGTTTAGGGTTTAGGGTTTAGGGTTTGGGGTTTGGGGTTTGGGGTTTAGGGCAGTTTCGTGGGCCCCGAAAAATGGTGCCTCTGACTTGTGGGCCCTGGGGTTGTCAGGCACCGTAGCCATATATGGGGGTTCCCGAAAATAGGGGTACCTTTTCTGGGGCCCTATAGTACGGATTCTAGTATTTTTGGGGGGTATGTTAGGGGACCCCGTTTCCGGAAGGACCCATACACTGTTGCATGCAAGTGAAAGCTTGTCGGGACAGATCCGAGTCGCACAGGTTACACCCACGTCAACCAGACACTGCGGGGCATCTTCGCTGTGGCAGGCCTCCGAAAAGTGAAAAGTGGAGCTTGAAAAACCCACCAAGAAACTCTTTTCCCTTCATCTTTTCGGTAGACCAATGGTACCCTCTTCCTTCTTAGGGGTTTCAAGGTTCCCTTATAATTAATTAGAATCACCAACCTCAAAAGTATGGGTGCCCATACTATGAGATGGCTGCTGAGCTACCAAGTCTGAAGCCTCTCCCAAATAGACCCTACACCCTACACCCTACACCCTACACCCTAAACCCTAAACCCTAAACCCTAAACCCTAAACCCTAAACCCTAACCTAAACCCTAAACCCCAAAAAACCACACAAAACCCTATAGAACCCTACAAGAAAAGCTCTAGAAAACCCTACAAAGCTGCATAAAAACCGCCTAAAACCCTATAAGGCTCTACAGTACCCGATAAAACCCTACAACGCCCTATAACACACCCCATACAAAACAAAAAAAACAGAAAAATGCCTTCAAATCATAAAAAAAAACATAAAAAAACCATAAAAACCATAAACAAAGCCTTTAAATCATAAAACCCTATAAAGCCCTGCAAGCTCTGTCGCGGCGCGCGGCGCGGGGGGTGCAGGCTGGCGTCAGGCCGTCGAGCGGGGCATCGTGCAGGCAAGCGGTTTAGGGTTTAGGGTTTAGGGTTTAGGGGGTCTAGGGTTTAGGGTTTAGGGTTTAGGGGTTAGGGGTTAGGGGTGAGGGCCCCTCGTTGCGGAGGTTTAGGGGTCAAGGCTTTGTTTTGTTGGGCGGATGGGGAGAGGGGGGGGAGGAAACTAAGCTCGCTCCTTTGATTGGTGATGGCCCGCGCCCTCCAGTCCGTGGCCTTAAGCCCCAACCCCGAAAGCGCAAAGTCTCTTGGGGTTCAGGGTTTAGGGTTTAGGCCCGAGGGTGAAGGGTTGAGGGTTGAGGGTTTAGGGTTCACAAAAACCCACCCCCCCGCCCCCAAACGACACTCAACCCTAAACAAACCCTCAACCCCAATCCCAAAACTCTCAACCCTGCGCTCCGAACCTTTAGGGTTTAGGGTTTAGGGTTTAGGGTTTAGGGTTTAGGGTTTAAGGTACTTGGGGTGTTCCCCCTGGGAGGCCCTCGACTTGTCGGCCGTCCTGGCCGATGACCAGAGCCTTCGGCAGTAGTTGCGGCGTTTAGGGTTGAGGGTTTTGGGGTGTATAGGGTTCGGGGTTTAGGGTTTAGATTATAGGGTTTGGGGGGTATAGGGTTTAGGGTTGAGGGTTGAGGGAGGGTTTAGGGTATAGGGTTCGGGGTGTATAGGATTAGGGTTTAGGCTCTAGGGTTTGGGGTTTAGGGTTGAGGGTTGAGGGTGTTCAGTTTTTTTTGGGTTGCGAGGTCTTATGGGGTCCGTAGGGTTTGTACGCTTTTAGGGTCTAGAAGCTCTACAGGGTCCATGAAGGGTCTATAGGGTCTACAGGGTTCGGGTCTAGGGCTAAGGGTCTGGTGTTTTGGATTTGTAGAGTTTATGAGGTCTATTATCGGGGCCTTGAGGGAGGGGGGGCACCTCGCCAAGCTTAGAGTGATGGTGAGCATTAGGGAACCTTGGGTTACATACCCCCCTTGAACCCCCACCCCAAACCCTAAACCCTAAACCCTAAACCCTAAACCCTAAACCCTAAACCCTAAACCCTAAACCCTAAACCCTAAACCCTAAACCCTAAACCCTAAACCCTAAACCTAACCCTAAACCCTAAACCCTAAACCCTAAACCCTAAACCCTAAACCCTAAACCCTAAACCCTAAAACCTAAAACCTAAACCCTAAACCCTAAACCCTAAACCCTAAACCCTAAGCCCTAAACCCTAAACCCTAAACCCTAAACCCTAAAGAAAGGAACCGCCGGGAGCTCATCTTGGACTTCACAGGCACGGCCAGATTCAGGTTTTGTGGGCTTTCGGGTTGAGCATTGAGGGTTTAGGGTTTAGGGTTTAGGGTTTGCGGGTATAGCATTGAGGGTTATAGGGGGGATCAGGTTTCAGGGCTTTTCGGGCTTTTTGGGGCGGCTTTCTCGGGCTTTCAGAGCTCTTAGGTGCGCCTAGGCGAGTTTGGAGGGGTGGGAAGGTGGGTTCAGGGTTTAGGCTAGTCTTGTGTTGCTGTTTGGTGTCTTTTTTCTCTTCCCCGTCGGGGTTGGAGTGGGTTTTTTGGGTGCTTTCGGTCATTGAGGTGTTCAGTGTCGAATAGTTGAGGGCTTTGGGGTTTTAAGGGGTTTTGAGGGCTTCAACACATGACCCAATGGAGGCTCAGATCTCATCCCGGATGCTGCCGCTGTGGACATCGCGCGCGGCCTGCCCCCGGCATTGGCGTCCTGCAAGAAGTGGCACTCCTAACACCCTTAAATGAAATAGGGTTCTTAAGGGAGGGGGGTTCAAGGCAATTAGGTAGTAACCTAAGGCTCCCTGGCGCTCCCTACTACTCCCCAAGGCTCCCTAAGCTTCCCTCAGGTTCCCTAGGTACCTACCCCCTATGAACCCCCCCTCCCTTAACCTGATAAAACTAGTTAAACCCTAAGCCCTAAACCCCAAACCCTGAAATCGTGACTTTCCTAAACCACTGAGACCTAAACCCTTATAGGTCAGGCCTCTCAGCCCTAAACCCTAAAACCTAAACCCTAAACCCTGATACTCACGTCCCCGTTTCCATGCGTTCCCCTTAACCTTTCAGGTGCTCACAAGGGGACCTCGGCCAGGTAAGAGGGATCTCCGTCGAGTTTATAAGAACCTCTCGAAGATCTAGGGTTAGGGTTTAGGGTTTAGGGTTTAGGGTTTAGGGTTTAGGGTTTAGGGTTTAGGGTTTAGGGTTTAGGGCTTAGGGCTTGGGGCTTAGGGCTTGGGGCTTAGCGTTTAGGGCTGAGGATTTTATAGGGCTCAGGGGCCAATCAGAAGCTTGTCATGGAGATCGGGCCCCCAAAGATTAAGAACAAGAGTTGCCCTAAACCCTAAACCCTAAACCCTAAACCGGTGCTCTACAGGCCTTCAGCCCCTCGCGCCTTAAAGCAGCACTTATTAGCTGAGTGGTACCCTTTTGCCCTTTTTGGCTTCTGGGTTCCCCTGTGAAAGGAACCGGCCCCAAGAAGTGTACCCTTAGAATATGGTTACTGGGCTACTAAGCACAAGCTCCCAACAGCCCTGAACCCTAAACCCTAAACCCTAAACCCTAAGCCCTGAGCCCTAAGCCCTAAGCCCTAAGCCCTAAGCCCTAAGCCCTAAGCCCTAAGCCCTAAACCCTAAACCCTAAACCCTAAACAGCTGAAGCCCGCAAACCCCTGAATGCCTCCAGGGTCTTGGAGTGGGCATGTCTGCATATTACGGCGTGCTTGCCAGCGCACGACCCCGCCAAGTAAACCCTAAAAAACCCTAAAAACACCTGAACAACCTGTTCAAAAACACCCTAACGACCCTTTAAACCCTCAACAACCCTAAACAAGCCTGAAAAGACCCCTAACGAATCCCTTGAATGCCCTAAGCCCTAAGCCCAATGTACAGGGCTTGGGGGGTACTTGGAGGTTCGTGGTACTTAACCAACTATAATTTGTACTTATAACCCACTTATAAGCCCCTTAAGTGCCCTAGTATGGTTATAAGTACAGCTATAAACCCTAAACCCTAAACCCTAAACCCTAAACCCTAAACCCTAAACCCTAAACCCTAAACCCTAAACCCTAAACCCTAAACCCTAAACCCTTAAGTACCATGAACCTCCAAGTATCCCTGAGAGCCCAGGAGTCGCTAGAGATCAGCTGCCGCTGGTGCACAGAGATCAGCGACCCGCCGAGGTTTCAGGGCTCAGGGTTTGGGATTTAGGGTTTGGGGTTTAGGGTTTGGGGTTTAGGGTTTGGGGTTTAGGGTTTGGGATTTCGAGGCTTGGGGTTTCGGGTTCAGGGAGTTTGGGGTTTAGGGTTGAGGGTTTAGGGTTTGGGGTTTAGGGCCTAGTTTAGGGTTTAGGGTTTGGGGTCTAGGGCTTAGGGCATGGGGTGTGGGGTTTAGAGTTCCAGGTTTGGAGGATAGGGTTCACGGTTGCGCTTTTTGTGTTTTAGAGTTGAGGGTTTGGGGTTTGGGGGTGCAAGGTTTTTCGAACACGTAACCCCAACCCCTAAACCCCATTCGGCTTGAACTCTTAAGGGGTTTCTTAGGTCAGAAAGCCAAGTCTGAAGCCTCAAGCCTCAGGCCCGAAATCCTCAACCCTGAAGGGTTTAGGGAGGGTTTAGGGTTTAGGGTTTAGGTTTTGGGGACTCTTGGCAGGTTCTCCAGGAATGGACATTACGACATATTTTGTATGGCTTTGCCCTAAACCCTGAATCCTAAACCCCTAAGCCCTAAGCCCTAAACCCTAGACCCTAAACCCTAAACCCTAAACCCTAAACCCTAAACCCTAAACCCTAAACCCTAGACCCTAGACCCTAAACCCAAGGCCACGAGTTCCTCATCCAGCTTGCGCCCGCGCTGCCGGGGTCCCTGACCCGCCTCTGGCTGTGGCTCGGCCAGAGATGAGGGCCCCCCGCCCCCCCCCAAGCCCTTCATGGGTTTAGGGTTTAGGGTTTAGGGTTTAGGGTTTAGGGTTTAGGGTTTAGGGTTTAGGGTTTAGGGCTTTAGGGTTTAGGGTTGTGAAGGTGCTCTTTAGGGGTTAGGGCTCAGGGTTTAAGGGTTAAGGGTTCAGGGTTGCGGTTTTCGGGTTTAGGGTTTAGGATCTAAAGGTCCTCTTGGGAACTTCTCTAGAGTTCAGGCGTTTAGGATGTAAAGGCTCTTGGGACGCTGCGATTTAGGGTTTAGGGTTCGAGGTTTAAGGGCTTAGGGTTTAGGATCTAAAGGTTCTTCTTGGAAGCTTATCTGAGGATTTAAGAATTAGGGCCCTAGGGCTTAGGATCTAGAATGTAGGGTGTAGGTTTCAAGTTTCAGTGCTTTGGATCCAAGGGTCCTTCTTTGGAACATCTTTTATACGGGCCGGGTTCGTATGGTTTTAAGAGAAATGCCGGGTTATTTTGGTAACAAGGTATTTTGATCAATTCCCAAATCCCAA